AATCCCAAAAAATTGGGGAAAAAATTCCGCCAAAATCCCAAAAAATTGAAAAAAAAATCCCAAAAATCTTCTCCAAAAATGCCCAAAATTTGGAATTTCAGGAATCTTCCTTCTCCTGGAACCTGCGGGAAAAGGGGAGGGGTTGGGAAATTCGGGATTTTGGGGGAATATTTGGGATTTTGGGGTTTTTTGGGGTTATTTCGGGGCATTTTTTGGGGGAATTTGGGGTTTTTTTGGGGGAATTTTGGGGCTGTTTTGGGTTTATTTTATGGATTATTTTGGGTTTTTTTAAGGAGTATTTTGGGGTTATTTTGGGTTTATCTCAGGGTGTTTTTAGGGATTATTTTGGGGTTTTTTTGGGGATATTTTGGGGTGTTTTAGGGATTATTTCAGGGATATTTTGGGGTGTTTTTGGGGTTATTTTGGAGTGATTTTTCGGGGTTATTTTGGGGTGGTTTTGGGGTTTTTTTGGGGGTTTTTTTGGGATATTTTGGGTTATTTCAGGGATTATTTCAGGGATATTTTGGGCTGTTTTTTGGGGTTATTTTGGGGACATTTTAAGGTTATTTTGGGGTGTTTTTGGGGACATTTTTGGGATGTTTTGGGGTGTTTTTGTGGTTATTTTGGGGACATTTTAGGGTTATTTTGGGCTGTTTCCAGGGATTATTTCGGGTTATTTTGGGGTGGTTTTGGGGTTATTTTGGAGTGATTTTTCAGGGTTATTTTGGGGTTTTTTGGGGTGGTTTTTGGGTGTTTTGGGGTGGTTTTGGGGTTATTTTGGGGTGTTTTTGGGGGTTATTTCAGGGATATTTTTGGGGTGTTTTTGGTGTTATTTTGGGGAATACTTTAGGGTGTTATTTTGGGGTGTTTTGGGGGTGTTTTTGGTGTTATTTTTGGGTGTTTTGGGGCGCTCTGGCCTCACCTGCAGCGGGGGCAGGTGTAGAAAACCGTCTGGCCCTCGTCGGCCGAGCGCATCTGCCGCGTGTGGAACCACATGCCCTGGTGGGAACATCTGGGGCAGGGTCTGTCCACCTAAAAAATACCCAAAAATCCATTTATTCACCCCAAAAATATACACAACATCTCCTGTGGAACCACATGCCCAGGTGGGAGCATCTGGGGCACGTTCTTTCAACCTAAAATAAACCAAAATTGTAATTATTTACAGTAAAAATATCCATAACATCTCCTGTGGAACCACATGCCCAGGTGGGAGCATCTGGGGCACGTTCTATCAACCTAAAATAAACCAAAATTGTAATTATTTACAGTAAAAATATCCATAACATCTCCTGTGGAACCACATGCCCTGGTGGGAGCACCTGGGGCAGGGTCTGTCCACCTAAAAATTACCCAAAATTGTAATTATTCACCCCAAAAATATCCCCAACATCTCCTGTGGAACCACATGCCCTGGTGGGAGCACCTGGGGCAGCTCCTATCGACCTGAAATAACCCAAAATTCAAATTATTCACCCCAAAAATAAACACAACATCTCCTGTGGAACCACATGCCCTGGTGGGAACATCTGGGGCAGGGTCTGTCCACCTAAAA